TTCATTTTTTTCTTAATCGGTTTATTCTATGGTGATTTTGAGGAATTGTTGACGCCGGAGCATACTCACCTGTAATCTCTAAGATCACATGGTAAAGAGAAAATTGAGTAATACAGGCTGCTAAATCTGTTTTGGTTAGTAGCACAAATATGAGCAAATAGAATTACCATGTCTTGGGGTTTCTAATGCCCCGTTTGTAGGTTTTTTTTTTTCTTATCAAGGGAATCAATCAATTTATCTGTGCACCATGTAGAATGTTACCCATGTTGAGGTATAATGATTAAACCTTTGCCCCTTGTTTCATTTGACGATAATGTTTCATTTGATTGAACCATTTTGTTTGTCCTATATGAATCTTTCATGTAATATATTTGTTATTTTCGTAGTGAATATGCAAGTTGGTTTGAACTCCATTAGTAATAGTTTCGAGAATGTGTATATATTTCTAAATACCTTATTCGCAGGAGATCATGGTTCCCACCGACTAACAGCTAATGACGTGGTTTTGGGCTTGATTATAACTAATGTTGCTGTTTTTTTATTATGGCGATTTGCAGATCAGAGTTTTATGGTGAAAAACTTTACTGTAAGTCCTCAATATTTTAACAAATTTGACCAAATAATGAAATATAGATTTTCTTGTCTTGTTAGAGGTCTGGGTGAAGAAACGAGCCTAGGAACCTCAACCAGCATTTTTTTTTTTTTAGCAGTTAAAGCAGAATGTATCTTTAACAAATGAATACTCCTGTATAAAATACAATATAAGATTTATATGCAAATTTGTTTCTAGTTCTCTATAACCTGGGCCCAAAATTCAGAGCATGCGGTTGAAAGAGAGGCCACTTAGAATTGCAAGCAATTCTAATAGTAGTCTTATTTTAATCACCATTTTATCCTAACTCATTGATTTTCTCTGAACAGGTTTCATTAGACAATGTTTTACATGACGTGTGCATACAATGATACCTTCTGCATTCAGTCATGTTGACATGGAGCACATTGTGTCAAACTATTGGACTTTACTTCTTCGGAATGAATGTATGACCACATGCCTTGTAAATCTCTTGTTTGGTTAAAATTTATTTCTTTCTGCTGTTATATCTCACACAAAGTTTTGTGAAGTTCATCACTCAGCGATTGAAACCTCATCATTAGTTGTAAAAAGGTAACTTAGATTATGAAACTATGCATAAAATGAGCCTAATAATATTGTTGTATGGCTTTCCATACTAAGATGTAGGGAGATCATGTGTTCTATCTTTAGAAATAATCGATAGGAAAATTAATATGTTTTTCTCCGAATCATTTAAAATTGGTTTGTTCTGTGCATCCTGTTAGCAGTTTCAGCCAATGGGTTACAGTTTTTTACATTTTCTTCACTTTCTGGAAGACCACTAACTTATGAATGAAGATTAAGTTATAGGTAAACTAATAATAGCGTACATAAGAGGATATATGCTAGAATGATTTGAATGCTTTTGTATTTACACAAATAGTTGGGACTTGGAATAGGGCACTATTACTGCAGTGATAGCTAAATTACCTCTTGTTCTTATTTGTTTGGAAAATTAAAATTGATTATTTGTTCAATATATTTTTGGCTCTTTTTATGAGCAGATTGGACACTCTTGGACCAGAATATTTGCTGAAGTTGTATCTAGCCGGGCATTGGTGGTTCAGTGTTCTATTTAGTGCACCATGCATTTCTGGCTATGTCATCAAAGGTACAACAAAGCTCCATAATATTTGAATTTCAACCCTATTATGAGATGACTAATATTGGATTAGTAGTTGCTGTAAGTCATATCTGACAATATTTGGATAGATTCTCTGATGGCTAATTTTGATAAAGATTTTTTTGTAAAATTTCCAATTTAACTGTAATGCATGGTTGCTGATGATGACATTAAATTTTTGTTAAACAAATTACAAAGAATAAAATTTATATATGTTCATTGGAATATAATGTGAATATTCATATAGAGTTCTGCTCATAATTAATGATAGTGCAATATTCTTTATCTGTGGTGGGCTGATTATAGTTTTGCCGCACTTCTTGCTATCTGCAGGGCAAGGCATGTGGCAGAAGGACCCTTCCAGGACTCCTGCATTAGTAAGGATTCTCTCATTTTAAGTTTTAACATGCCTTTTAGAATGACTATTCTGGTTTGGCATTATAAGGTTCCATTATTTCTGACAAAGTTTGAAAAATTAGTATCTTTTATCCCTGTTCAAATTACAGGTTCATTGTTTTTCTAAACATTTTGTATTTATTCATAATAAGCTTATCTACCTGCTCAGTTAACATCATAATCCTTTTTTTATTAATTTCATGTTGCCTTCTCTACTTTATACTATAATACACCAACTAGAAACCTTTATTTTTTACATCACAATGCATCTCTCATATGGGCCTATATACATTCTTTGATTACCTTTTTGCATGGATTTCCTAGGATGATATTTTCCCAGGTTGTTTATATTTCATATAATAGAAGTTTGAGAAAAGCATTTGAAGTTAAACATTTTTCCTACATTCATAATCATAGTTTTTTTTTTTTTTTTTCAATAGATAAAGAAATGAAGTATTAGTTTGATTGTGGAATTCATTTAACTTGAGGATCTTCTTTGTCATTAAGGGGGCAGTGGGGGCTGTAAATGCTATCATGCTACTAATATATTCCTGAATCCGAAGGCTACTATCTATCTTGACTTTATTATACCTGTGCCTGCCATGTTATTGTGTAGCCCTTCAATTTTGTGGACATGTTGGTTTGAGATTAATATGAATATGCTTAAAAGGTTTTTTTTTCTTTGTTCTTTTAGGGAGTCTTTCTAATTGGTAAAGATATGTTGAGGATAGTGAGGTAAGTTTTTAATTTTTTCTACCTTTTTTACCTTCTTTTTGTAAACCATAATTGCTTAAACAATTTAACCTTATGCAATCTAAATGGTCAATAATAGGTATTCTACTGAGAAGTATTGAAATGTTGTCCCATTTGAACTTGCTTTCACACAAATATGAGCGTTAGCGATCATGACAATTGCTTCTATTATATCTCCCGCTTGGTTTAGTCTGACAACACTGTTTCCATGGTTTTCTTTTATGCCAATAGAAAATCTTTGGTCCCTTTTGATTTCACCCCACATTGGATTTAAAACCTGGAGATTTGAATCCAACCACTCTAAATCAAGGATAACCTATACTTTCAGATTATGTTTGATGTGAGTTTGAATAGTGTTATTTTGATAATGTAGGGAAATAGTAATATCTCAGGATCAGCTCATTTGGGAGGTGTTGCAGTCGCAGCTATAGCATGGGCTCGAATTCGAAGGGGACTTTTCTAGTTTCTTGATTGATCAGCTAACTCTTTACATCACAAAATTTAGTTCATCCTAGTGTTTTGTTTTTTTTTTTTTTATTCATTGGAGATTAATTCTTCTAATACATAGAAGTGTTATTGCTTCTTGTAATTGCTATAATACCACTTGCCCTTTTCTTCCTATTCTTGCTCCTGTTAAAAAGAAAAAAAAAAAAAACTGAGATCCCATCTCTGAAAATCTATCAGAACAGAACAGAAAAGGCTGCAAATACTTGGAAAGTAACAAGAGTATGCAGAAATCTGAAACTTTTTTCAGATACAAACTGAGACTAGTTGTTTTGTCTTACCAATGTAAATAGCCTCTAAAAGAACAAGTCTTCTGTTGAGCTGTGCCTGACATAGACAAAGCTTGTTTACAAGAACAAGGAATCTGGGTGGCCATCGGAGATGCACTAAACCATTGAAAGCTGCCATAACTCAAATTGTCTCTCAAATGGCTGGCTTTAAGCAACAATGTCAGCATATTTCTTGCGGAAAAGTTCAGCCAGCCATTGAAAGACATTAACTACAACATGGTTAAACAGTAACTTTTTTCTCAGCTTTTTGCTGTCAATTTAGGGTGTAGGTTGTAGCCTCTGAACCAGGCTACTTGTCTCTAGAAAAGTACAAACTAGGTCAGCTCTTTTAATTAATAGCTTCTTTTGTACCTTCTTCAACCCTCTGCATTAAATCCAAATATTTACAGAGGAAACCATGCTTACCTTCCTATCACTTCAATCATTCTCGCCACGGCCATGCTAAAGATCATGAGAATACTATTTTCATAATTTTAATTAATTCTTTTCTTTTTTTAATTTATTGCACTGATTAAATGAAATAAACCTATCAAATTATTAAAACTATTAGAATTATGATTTTTTTAAATTTATTGCATTGATTAAATGAAATAAACCTATCAAATTATTAAAACTATTAGAATTATGATAAGAGTTAAAATTATTAAAACTAAATTACTAATAAATTTAAGAAATTTATTCTTATTTAGTCTTCAAAAGATAAAACATACTTATTCCATCTAGTTCTGGGTATACTATTAAAAAAAATCTTAAATTCGAATCCCTTTTTTGTTGTTAATAAAGATAGTCACTAGAGTTTTTATTTAACCGATAATTTCAGGTTCTGAAATATTAATTAAAATATGCGTAAGCTAGTTCAGACACTCTTGATCATAAAAAAATAAAAAATAAAAAAAATAAAAAGTTCCCTTGTTAAAAGGATTGCAAGTGTAAATTTATATAGGTTATGGATTGATATAAGATATGAATTTATAATAATTATTAAATTAATAAAGAAAAAGTTAATCAATTTACGTACATAAATATAGATTAGAACCAACCTAGACCATACATGAACAATTGGGCTGTGGCCCATGTCAAACCAATAGTAACATGACACCTGTCTATTATTCCCTGTTTGACTGCCACGTTAGCCTAAAACTATAACCCCTCTATGGCCCCATCAATCTAAATGACCCTACCATCAAACCCTCCTCCATCTGCCACGTGTCCTCCTGATTCCATTTCTACCCATCAGATTTAACCCTTTCTCTCCTTATGTTTTCCTTTAGATAAATAATAATAATAATAATAATAATTTTTAAAAAGTTGAAAAAAAAAAAAAAAAATCAAATCAAATCAAATCTCCCTAGTCTCTTCCCTGCTCATTAAGCCCTGCTCGCTTTCTATGACACATGTTTAATCTCATTAATTTCTGATTATTTCATTTATTATCATTTTTATTTTTTTTGCATGAACTCAAAATCTACTCCATCCCCCAAAACAACACATCTTTCTATCACTTTCTCGAGAAAATTTTTAAGTTTCTAATACTGGAGATTTTCCCGGAAAAAAAAAAGATAAAAAATGAGGTGGGAAAAGGTCCATCTTCATACCCAACAAGCTCAAGAATATGCTTTCACTGAAGTATCAAGTTCAGGGCCCGGCAAGAGATGGGGCCACACTTGTAACGCCATTAAAGGTGGCAGATTTCTCTATGTTTTCGGCGGTTATGGCAAAGACAACTGCCAGACTAACCAAGTTCATGTTTTTGATACTGGTACCTCCTTTTATTTTCCCATATTTTTTTGTTCTCCTTTTTTTAGGTTTTAATCAATTCTTTTATGCCATGTGTTTAAGTTTTTAAAGTTTGCATTTTGGGTTTTGTTTTGCTTTATGTTGTGTTGATTGGATTTTTTTTTCTTTTAGAAGAATGTGTAATTTTATTTTTTTTCATTGATTGGTCGATATGGTATTGGTAGTTAGGGTTTTTGCTGGGTTTATTTTGTTGAAAGTTTTGGGTTTTGTTGTTGGGTAGTAATGAAATGATTGGTTCTTGGTTTACATTAGTTATTAGCGTTAATGCTTTTGTGGGTCTGCTATAGAAGGATTTGTCAGGTTTATTTTCTGACTATATTTGTGGGGTGTTGTAGATTAGCTTTGCCTTTTTGTTTTCGCATTTTTTGTCTTTTAATTCAGAGTGGGGGTTCAAAGTGGGGGTCTGGTATCAGTTCCATATTTGGAACTCCATGATTATTTACATCTTGTGCACATCACTACAAATATATGTTAATGCATAACAGTTATTCAGCTATATTTTCTTCTTGGGTTCTTCATCTTATTTCCTTCCTTGTAAAAAAAGGAACTTTTTCTATTTTTAGCTTTTTTGTTGTTGCATGTTCTTACATTCTAAGTAGCTGCTTTGCAGTTAATCAGACTTGGAGTCAGCCAATGATAAAGGGCATTCCGCCCACTCCGCGGGACAGCCATAGTTGTACTACTGTCGGTGACAATCTCTATGTTTTTGGTGGTACTGATGGAATGAACCCCCTTAGAGATTTGCATATATTGGACACTTGTGAGTTATTTCATTCGTTTTAAATTTTTCATCTTTGATTTTGCCTTTTATTTCACACAGTAATCTTGTACCTGCAATTCTGCTGACCTATAAGTTGGCAATTTGCTAGTAAAATAAGTATCTGAAATAGAGTGATTAGATAAACTGCTTAATGCTGAAGTAGCAATTAGTTTTGCTCGTATTTGTGTTTGTGTCCATCAAGTTAGGAGATAAAGCTGGAATTTCTTATTTAAATAATCTAGTAGATGCTGTAATCCTGTGGATTTATTAGTATGACACTGTCATTTGTTTTAATTAATTTTGTAGCTTCACATACATGGATATCACCTAGTGTAAGGGGTGAAGGACCAGAGGCACGGGAGGGTCATAGTGCAGCCCTTGTTGGTAAACGGCTCTTTATATTTGGTGGTTGTGGGAAATCTTCTGATACTAACGATGAAGTATACTACAATGATCTTTACATATTGAATACAGGTGAATTTCTCTATTTAGCATCTATTACTAAATGCTTCCGCCTATGTTAGTTTTGATCACCTTGATCTCTAGTTTATTGCCTAATTTATGATTTTCTTCGTTGGATTTCTCATTTCCATGAGTATTATCTAGGAGAACATCTAGAAGTACTCAATGTGTTAACATTTTTTTGTCTGTAAATTTGGTATTTTCCTGGGTGCATGTTTAAATTGGTCTTGATATTCAAGATGGCTTAGTGTTTCATTGATGCATGTAGTGAAGAGCATGTTCCATTTCATCCTTGTATCTTCTTCTCTTGCAGAGACCTTTGTGTGGAAATGTGCTACAACATCTGGCAACCCACCATCTGCACGTGATAGCCATACTTGCTCATCTTGGAAGAATAAAATCATCGTGGTTGGTGGCGAAGATGGACATGATTATTATTTGTCTGATGTCCATATCCTTGATGCAGGTTTCAGATTTTTCTTATATATATGGTTGATCAACAATATCTCATAATTTTTTTAATGAATAAATTTCTATATCTAATTTGCATGATCGTAATTTTGGCATTTTTTTTCTATTTTATCAGAAACTCTTACTTGGAAAGAGCTGAAAACTTCAGGTCAGATGTTGCCACCTCGAGCTGGTCATGCCACAGTTGCGTTTGGGAAGAACTTATTTGTATTTGGGGGATTTACTGATTCCCAAAATCTATACGATGACCTTTATATGCTTGATGTTGGTATGTATGATGTACTTATCATGTGATTTACATTATTGAACTTTCCCATTTACACAAGTATCAACGTTGTAGAAACATAAGGTACAAGGAACAAAAAGGGGCAGGCAGATATTTGCTGGCATTAGGACACATACCAAACTTTTGGGTTAATGCTCCTGTTCGTTGGCTTAATGTCCCCCCATTTAGGATGTTCTCATCAACATTTACTCTTGGGTCTCTTGTGGGATAATATTGAGAGTTGTCTGATACTAGCTTGTAATTGTGTACATTGGTGTAGTATTTATAATTTAACTGCTTGATTTTCTTTCCAGTGGGCCTTTTAATTATGAGTTGATTGTAGGATACAACTTTTCTTTTGTATGTTTCGTTTTGTCATTCATATCTTCTATCTTGTTACGCAGATACTGGTATATGGACAAAGGTGATGACTATAGGTGAAGGGCCTTCTGCTAGATTTTCTGTGGCTGGTGACTGTTTGGATCCCTTGAAAGGTGGTGTTCTTGTGTTCATTGGTGGTTGCAATAAGAGTCTTGAGGCATTGGATGACATGTATTACCTATACACGGGTAATTCATAATCTTCCCCTTTTTCCTTGAATTATAATCTTTAGATGTTTAAGTAATGATCTGATTATGGAAATTCTCCAAGTCTTTACGTAAGATATCGTGTATAATAATATCTTATTAGATCTCTTGGAGTTCTGAGATATATCGTGCATTAGTTACACACAGGTGTAGCATGTTGCTAATTGTGTGAAATATCTAATTCTAGGACTTGCAAATGAGCGGAAGTTAGAGAAGTTATCACTGAGGAAGCAATTGAAGCTAAAATGCCAAGAACAAAATCTTACTCCTGTAAATGACAGGGCACTGGTTAGAATTGAAACGTTCACTGATGTGCAGCAACCTGTGCCTCTGTCAAGTTATGGCCAACCAAGTAAGAACCTTTATGCTATATTATCCTGCTTAAAAGATTAAAATTGGTGACTCATGTTCAACTATCCTAATGGCAAGTGTCAGAGGTGGCATTAGATCAAACTTTTAGTGAAAATTTACTCAAGTGCTCTGGGGCCCCTTTGGTACACAATTTTTCACTACTCTATTCCCTATTCTATCCAAAATACACATTTATTTTTTTATTCTCAAAATATTATTCTATATTATTCAATTCTTTTTAAACCCCCTAGATTTATTAATTTAAGTAAACACCAAAAAAAAAAAAAAAATTTAGAAATTGACAAAAAACCCTAGCAACCCACATTTGCTAAATTCTGGCCACCATCGCCGGAAGCTGGCCCGAATCTGGTATAATGGCGTACTACCGACTGGATCTGACCTGTAATGCGTCGATCTAGCCTTTTTCGGCCAGATCTTTGGCCGTAGCCAGTCGTCAACGACGGCCAAGATATGTTGGTCGTTGCCGACCAAATGCGGCCAGATCTGGCCATTGACGTACGATCGGCCAGATATAGTTGGTCGTGCGCTGATACGGCGACTCCGGCGGTGGTGGCCTGCTGTCGGTATTTAATGGGTGGGTGGGGGTGTTTTTGTTAATTTTTAATATTTTATTATAGGGGTGTTTAGTAAATAAACATCGTAATAACCACTCAATTTTACTTTTTTCAAAATATTATTCTAAAAAGTATCAGAATAATGAATCAAATGTACCCCTAGTTATTGATTTATTCCCTACTTGTTCTTTTCATTTATCGATTGTATGAACTGTTATACTTCTAAAATTATGGAAGGTAAACAAGTGTAGTCGTTATCTCAAAATGATGGAATGAAGGCTTGGCTTCAAATTTTGCATTTACTTTTTCTTTCTTCCATGAATATATCTTCATGCAGATAAAGTCGAAACCATTAGGATTGTAATGATATTTATCCACTCTGCATATAGATTATGAATTTTTTCTTTTGGTGAACAGTCAGTTTGTTCCAAGCCATTGATTTCTTACGAGAAACAAAAGTTGTCTTTAGTCAACCTCATATGTGAACTTTATTGAAAACAATTTAAGGAATAGGCAAAGAGGAAAGCAGGATTTGGGTTTGAGAAGGCATTTTCTTTTCAACACCAAAGATACTTTTGGCAGTATATACTGGAATACCAGGGTTTTCTGTTCCTGAACTTTCTGTCAAATTTGCCCTCTGACTATGGTTTTATTTGTCTATATTGGAAGGGATATTGGACATTCCTCTTGTGTGTCTGAATGTCAATCCAAATCTCTGCTTAAGTCAACCACCACCGTGTTGGATGAGATAGGCTTTGAGCATTTGCATTGATGACAAATAGGCACTGAAAATGCTGCAGAAGTATTACGTGAATGAAATTTGTGGTAAAACAAAGATGATCATTTCTCTTGTATTTTTTGCAGTATTTAGATAATGTTTCTTTTAGACAAACAATGGTCACTTGTCTCCTTTCTGAATCTCTACAGTCATTCTTTTACTACTACTTTAATATCGTTGATAATACGTTAGTTAGACATTTGTTCTGAGATGTCTTTAGATATCAAAAGTGCATTATGTAACACAAGCAATTTTGTTACAAGTTTGAGGATATATCTTTTAGAAATTTGTATATGCAATATTTTCTACTATGAGCACTGTGGGGGTTGTTAGTAATGATTTTGTGCCTGTCGCATTTTGGATGCTCTTAAAGGGTTAAGTAATTTGAGGACACATCATGCCTATTGCATAATTTGTGACATTGCCCTAGGTTTTCATGTGACCTTGTAGTTCATTGTGGCAACCAATGATTTCAGTGTACATTTTGTTATAGCCTTCTGTTGTCTAATAAGTCTTGCAAGATAGTAGGTTTGGGCTGTGCAGCGTAGTGAGAAAGGATATCTTCTTTCAGTTTGGTTTGCAAGCAAATTTGTGGAAAATAGGTGCAACTTTCCTATGATGAATTTTACCATAAAACATGTAGGTTGAGATCCAAAGAAAACATTTTTTTAGTCAGTTATAGAAACTGGTGGCGAATTCTTGGCTTATATTTTCCTTTTATTTGTCTATTAGATGGAGCTTAACTGAAACTTTTTAGGGCCCATAATCCTTTTTTTTTTTTTTTTTTGGTTATTAGTATAGAGGGGCTCATTATTTTCCAATAGAAAAAACTAAATTTGGTATGTTAGATAAAATAAGAAATGCTATTGATTTTTCAATGAAGTAGATGAGAAACAAAAGGAAAACTACATCTAGATGTTTGATTTAAATTGAGTCAAGTGTCAGAGATAATTAAACATCAAATAATTAATTTCAGGATAAGAAATGGTATGGTTGACTTGAACTGGGAACATCAGAAAAGGTCCATCAAAGAGGATTTCCAAAAGATTTTGGTGATGAACATTTTCCATTCTGCAGTTGCTCATCTGTCAGGCTTCTTAACAGCGAAAGGCTGAGAAAGAAATTCAGGAACATCTTAGAACTTCATGGTTCTAGTTGTATGTGTTCTCCTTGATGTTTGTGTGTATTGTGGAGCTCTAAGTGACTTTTGTAATAATGTGATTTGGTGGGTATTCTTTTAAGGCATGGATTTCTTGATCGATCTGTTTTTAGCATCTAAAAGGTCAACTTGGTATTGATGAAAAACTAATCATTATGCTCCCAAGTATTACATTCTTGTATGTGCTGATACTTTACATTCATTAGTTTCTTAACTGAAGTAAGAGCACAGAGGTAGTTTTGGTTAATTTTGTACTTCAAAAGAGAGTTTAGCTGTGTTCTTGACTTTATTATTGTTTAATTGCAGGAAGAGAGAGTTATCCAATATATGAAGCTGTGGCCCTACATGGAAAGAAAACGTTTCAAGCTAAGGTCACTGAAAACCTCCCGCATGGATATACCATTGAAACTATTATAGATGGAAAACCACTTCGTGGAATATTATTTGCAAACAAGCCAATCCCTGCCCTCACAACTAATCATAATCCCAGTAGGTGAGAATATGGTTATTTGATACACCATTCATTTATTTGTTTGTTTTTGACAGTTTTGGCTTATGTCTTTTTTATGGTATTATCATTAGGAAAAGAGCTGCTGGGGAGGGGGGTGTTATGTTGAATGGTGATTGCAACAGCAATTCAAAAGCTTCTAAAATTGTAAAACGGGATGCAATGGATCACAGAGAAGCTGATGGTGTTACCGGGAAGGAATTCAAGTCACAGGAGACAGTGGCTGCTGCTGCTCCTGATGTGAAGATTCCACCACCTTCTGATGCTTCTCAGCCTTTTAAGGTCATATATTATATTCTTTGCCTCTTATTGAAGGACTACAAGTATGCTTAAATACCAAGCTTATATCATAAACTGAAACGTAGTTTCATTAGTTAGATACAGTGAGAGTGCTGGATATACAAATTGCAAATTTCCTTTTTGTCTTCTCCATGCTCATCTTATGGAGATTTTTCCACTTCTAGTGAAATATTCTGGATTGGTAATGTGAGATCACTTTCGAGTTATTATTGTGTGACTATAATGCATCTCATTTATCATTCCTGTGATTAGTGATGGGACACATAGATATCCATGCGATGTGCTATAAGATACGTGGTTATAGTCATTGTTCGTCTTGGCATTTACTAGAGTACCTTGTTGGCTCTTAGCTTCCTTCAATTGTAGTAAAAGCATGGCTGATCATGATAAGTCTGTAAATGATCCATTTGTATTGACCTTTGCTTAACTTTCGGCAGGAGCCAGTATGTTCACAGCCATCAGTTGCTCCCTTGAATTTAAACGACGATAAGCCTAACGATGTACCAAACTCTACAACGGAATTTCCAAAAGAGACAATGCACAAAAAAGATTCTGCTGCTTTGGCCCCAAAACAAGGTATGAGGCTCGCGTGCATTTTTTATGTGGTGACTAGTGTGTTCTCTTTGGATTTTGTCTGCTAGTTTTCTGTTTGGAGTAATTTGTTTGAAGGTTTTGTTGAACTAAACTGTCAGAGGCATTTGTTGATGTGGTTGGAAAACACTAGTTTTAGAGATAATTGAAGCAAAAACAAAATGTTATGTAAACTTCATGTGGTTATAGATTTGGGTAATGTATGTTCTAGATTCATTTTAAATAACCGTTTTGGGATTGCAGATGACTTGACACCCACCAGTGAAGGACACAGCGAACCGGCGAGATCAATCTGAAAAGGAAAACAACCATTTAACTGTTTGTGATGACTACTGAACAAAACTACAATACAAACCAGAAGCCATTTGTACATTCAACGTTTCAAGGTGGCTAGATGCATTTGACCTGTGGTATACAGAACCTGCTAACTGGTGTGATCTGCCACCTTCGCTAACACCCGTCTTTTTGTCATTCTACCGACTAATGCTCTCTTCTTTACTTAAATTACTAACTATCATTGACTAGTTGTATGCAGTAGGTTTTTTTTGTATGACTAGTGATCATCTTGTTTAGTTATAGCTTCAGACTGAACTGCTTATACACGCAGACAGGAAAAGAAATCTCTTGTCGGAAGTTAGTTTGGGTATCACTTAATTGCAGAGAGAATTCTGTTGCTTTCGAGCAAAATACACAGATCTGCATATTATCGGATTCTGGCATGCTTTTTATACTCATCTGATATGTTGCCTACCCATACTAAGTAATCCTGTTTACAGAATTTTCTGTATAAGAATTTTTGTTTCCTGAATTGAAGGCGCAAAAGCTAGTTAAATGTTTTTGCACGAACTTCTTTCTCCCAGCAGCTGTGACTATTGGCAAAGGTATTTTTCTGGTAATGCCATGGTACCTTCTTGATGAAATTATTGGGCGATGAATAGCAACAGCCATGTGCTGAGTGTGTTTATTTCCGTTTATTTAGGTTTAAATTTTTCAAAATTGTCAAAAATTTTGATACCGTCAATGCCAAAATAAAAGAAAATTGATATTCGTGGATTTTACTTGATGAATTGAATTAATATGTAAAATCAAACTAAATATACAAGCGAAAAAAATCATAAGCATAAATCAGCTACGTTTACTGAGTTGAGGCGATTTACCCCAAATCCTGTTACGTTTTGGGAATTTATTTGGTTATTTAAGGCCTTTCTTAGGAATAAAAAACTATAACAGAGTCAGCCAGACTCGGAGATTGAACCCCAACTCTGGTTTTTGCCATTCCCAGCCTCATTAAAAACTGATGATGAAACATGAAACGAAAATAAGGGAACTTTGTTCAATTGACGATAAGCAAATGCTGAATTGAATACTGAAGATGTCACGTATTACACGTTCAAAGTTTGAAAAGTCTTAAGCATTTGAGCAGAACCCAACATTCCGCTCCCGGATAAGTGCCACATATTATGCGCAACACAAATAGAAACACCACTATCTAAAATATTTAGATATTGTTTGCCTCAACTTTAAAGGCCCCTAAAACATCAGTTACCATACGTTTTGACTTCGAAACCTGAGGCCTCTCATTTACCATCACCGCCGAATAGGTAATTCAAGGAAGATCCACCTCCAGGGGCTGCATGCACCTTAGTTGTAGGCCGATCCTGTCCAAATAGAGATCCAAACATCAATCAAAACTATGCAATACAATATTTATTTTCAGATTAGTGGAAAACATCAGAAAAACAATGCATGCACGATTCAGTTAGAAATGCCAGTTGTCATGCAGGCCATGTCAAACACTACCCAGATTAAGAGTTCAGAAAAGTTGAAAGCAGAAGAAATGTTAAACAAAATACAGGCCCGATTGATAAATTCTTCAAATGAATAATAATAAAATATCAGGCCAATCAAGGAATCTAACTTTGAAAGTTATACATTATACTTGCTGCAGGTAAATCCACAAAAGTACAGCCTACATGATCATCAATAGAAATAGCAGTCCAGATTCATGGTATGAAGGGAACAAGAGGTCCACTAGACAAACTGTTATGGCAACTAAAAACAAGCCCACAATAACAGACAGCACAATTGGTACCGACTATCATTTCAGGAAAATTTAATTCATAAGGAGTGTTGAAAGACTTTCTCACCCATGGTTCCCAAGGCACAGGACTCTTGACCACAGATTAAAGTTTGAATTGCTATAACATCATCTATAAACCTGATTCTTGTTATACATTCTCTACATAATTATAATCTTTTATGACCACTTGTACACCTCTCTTTTGTTAATAATATCTGTTGATTCTAATCCATTCCACCTAAATTAATAATGGACATCTTTGTATAAGGTGAAAGTGTGATAACTAATTCATCAACCTATTAATAAATATTGATGACTTTTAACTATCAAAATTTAGTGCGAGGCATGTTAAACTTGCAGCAAAAGGAAGTCACGAGTAAGATCATACAGTGAGGAAGTTGCCACAGTTCTGGCCATCAGCACGGAAGTAGTTGTTAGCCTTGTTCCCAGGAACCCCAGCCGGAATCTGCTTACCGGCATCTCCTGATGGTGGAGAGGCTGATGGTGCAATGGCTGATGGTGCAGCGGCTGATGGTGCAGCAGCAGTAGGCTTTGCAACCTCTGCCTGGACCTTGGGAGCTTCACTAGTGTTTGCAGTAGGTTTTGGAGCCTCTCCACTGCCAAAAAGGTACCCCAAAGAACTCTGCCCCCCACCGCTGCTTACTCCACGACCCATAATCTCTATTTGATATGAAAAAACTTAAATTCCTGCACAAATATTCCAACATACAGCAAAATAGTATATCCTTAGTTCAACATTGCAAACTCCAACCAACATTCTAAAGTCGATGCACAAACACCACCAAGTAGAAGCATAAACAAAGATTCTCAAAAGAAACCTGAATAGATATTAGATGCTATTTTTCTTTAAGAGAAACAACAACCTTGTACTAACGACAATGCATGCAAAATGCACAAATATATCCAGCAACTACTTATGCTTACGTAAATATATATTATAACCACAGATCACTATAAAATAAATTTCTAGGGTTTCAGCATAACAATCAAACAATATTATTTAAAAAAAAAAAAAAAAAAAAAAAAAAAAAAAAAAAAAAAACCTTTTCATATCAAAAAAGTAAGGTAACTCCAAATCTAAGCATAATATTAACCAGAAACAAAAACACAAACGTCATTATCAGATAATCCAAAGTAAGCTTTGTAAAATCAACATCAAAAACGCTATCTCAAGACAAAGACATCCAAACTTTACCAAAATGTAGCTCACAAAACACCAGATCGGATCAGATCAGATACAAAAGCAAATAACAGCAGATGAAAGTTCATAACCGCTGTTTGGAGCCGAGAAAGGAAGGAAAAACGAGCGAGAAGTTTCGGATTCTTTTGCTCACCTGTTGATGATCCTGCCGGTGGATGGAGTGGAGTGTTTGTTTTGTGGTGTTTGGATCAGATCTGGAGCAAATAAGAAGAGAGGGATTATATTTATTCAACTTTTTAAAACTAGGTGGGACCCAATGTTTTCCACTGATTTTTCTTTATATGGGCATCACGGGCGGACCTCTAGATATTTTTTCATAAAAAATTAATATAACGGACAAAAATTTTCATATTTTTGAATTCAAACTAACTAATTTTGAGCCGTTGATCTGTTTTTTTTTTTTTTCATCTAATTTTAATTTTGAAACCGTTTAATTGGATAAGTGTCTCTTAAAATTTCTCATGGATCTTTTCAAAAGTTAATAGCCGTTATAGAATTTTATTGCCTAATTTTATTTTTTAAATAAATTGTGACAATAATGCGATAATGCGTATTTTGCATCGATCAATTTAATATTAATTTTAAAAGTTGTTAAAAATATATCTAATATTTAAAATTTCAATCAATTTATGTGAAAATTGTCATAAATAGGTGTTTTATTAGTTCGAATAGGAACAAAAAATTAGAAATTTGTACTAATTAAATCTAATTTGAAGATATTTTACAAAGAAATTTGTGAAGAAAATCCGAGAAATCCCAGTAAAAAATATAATAGCCGAATAAAGCACCCAAGGTAAAGGTTCAAGTCAAAATCATTTAACTTCATTGGTGATAAGATCTTAATTTCTATTCGAGTCATATTACATTTGTCAATTATCTGACTTGTTGAATTTGTAAAGTGTTAAAGAGACCTTAGTGATTATTTGAAGTGCACGCAATCTGGTCCGAATATCCCGTCACCAAAAATCATTTTTTTAACTCAACTATTTTTGTCTTTAGCCCCCATTTTCAATTTTTATTTTTATTTTTATTTTTTTTTAAATAAGGAATGGGTATTTGCCCTTATCTTCAATTTTTGCGTGGGAATATAAATGTAATTGAAGAAAATTCTTATTCTTTCATACTTTTACTTTAAAGCTTTTATATTTGTAGCTAGCAAAATTAAAAATAAATTTTAAATCAATAAGAACTAATAATAATTCATGACACAAAATCAATCAAACTAGGTATCACAAAAAGTACATTTGTGATACTGTATGTTTTGTTTTAATGGGAATGAAATCAGAATTTTTTTGTCAGTATGAGATTGATAATTGATTACTTGATTGTAAAAGTTTTGAGGTCTAGGTATCATGGTTTTAAAACCTAGCCCAGCTCGGCTGGTTGAACCGCCGGGCCGGGTTATCACTTTCAACTATTCATCCTAAATCTTAGAATTATGGATGATGATCAGCGAGCATACAATGACAATTATGTTGAGGCTTTTAGAGAGAGAGTGTCGATGAGTCCAGAAGTGGTGAAGGGAGTGATTTTGGGTGAGTGAATCGACCGGAAAAGACAAAAATCGGTTAGCCAAAACAACGAGCTATTGCCGACGATTGGCGGAGAGAACGGGGGAGGGGTGAGATGGGTTTTGATTTGGAGGTTGAGAGGAGTGTTTTCGTGGTGATGGAGAGTGTTTTCATCGCCAAAAATAGGCCCTATTTGGCTTGAGTTGTCGACGCCGGTAGTGGTGTTTGGGGTGTTTTTGTAGTGGTGTAGGCCAGAAATAGGCCCTATTTCAAACCTATTGGGACTTATATATTTTTAGGGGTGTTTTTGTTAGATTTCAAACCTTTAGACATACAAACATCATCGATTTGACCCGCTAGTCAACCCAAGACTCGGCCACTTTGCCGAGTCTCACCCCAGGCCGAGTTTTAAAACCTCTAGGTATCACAAATTACTTGTGTTTTGTTTTTAATGGGAATGAAATAAGATTTTTCTTATGTCAGTATCGATTTATAAGTGATTATTTGATTATAAGAGTTTTGAGGTTTTGATTCCGTAAACAAATTAATTTATAATTATATACTAATAATATGAATCAATATATAATTATAAATTAATTTGGCCACATGCTTTATTGTTATTTATGATTTATTTAAATTTACTTTTAATTTTTTATGATAGATGATATAAAATTTATTGATTTGGTCACTTGTTTTTATTGTTAAACCTAATTGATTTAATTTACTTTTAATTTTTTATAACTACATATATAAGCTTTGAAGTAAAAATATGGAATAAGAATTCGAATAATGTTTTTTTACTAAATCCTCGTTTAATCTTGGAGATGAGGGTTAAAGATAAAAATAGTGGGGGTTAATGATTTCCCTCTCTTAAAAAAACATTTTTACTTTTTCGAGACTCATGAACCTATACCNTTATTGATTTGGTCACTTGTTTTTATTGTTAATCCTAATTGATTTAATTTACTTTTAATTTTTTATAACTACATAAATAAGCTTTGAAGTAAAAATATGGAATAAGAAGACGAATAATGTTTTTTTACTAAATCCTCGTTTAATCTTGAAGATGGTGGTTAAAGATAAAAATAGTCGGGGTTAATAATAATTTCCCTTTCTTAAAAAAACATTTTTACTTTTTCGAGACTCATGAACCTATACCACTTTAGTAGGGCAATGTTTAAACGAGACAAGCTAAGTTTTGGATTAATCAAGTTCAGCTCGATTGCTACAGTATCGAAATTGAGCTTGGCAAGCTTGAAAATTATGAAAGGAATATGTGAAAGAAAACTATTATAATCCTGCTTAGTGATGCAAAACAATAACAACCCAGCCTGGGGTGGTGAAGCTCAAGTTTGGCATAACTCAGGCATAAATTACACCCGGGGCGAGCTTGGAACCCACGAACCTGGGTTAGGTATACTATATAAAGTTTTATAGAATTATGATACCCGCTTATAAAATTTCACATAACCCTTCCTAAAAAATCAAAAAAATGAGTAATACTATACATATAACATTTCTTATACAACATTATGTGGTAAAATATAATTGACTGATTTTAAATTAAAATTAAATTTTCATCCGATCATCTGTCACATATTATTGTATGAGAAGGTTTCATGTGTAATATTATACTTTAAAAACCTCAGTAGACTGCTTAGCTACTTTCACAATGTGAACTACTAAAAACCCACAAGAAATTTATTTTATTTCATTGGTATTTTATTTTATTTTTTTCCAAATATCTTAAAAACCCCTCTACAAGTAAAAAGTAGATCTCCGCCCATTGCTTTACAGAAAGAGGAGAACGATGTTTTTAAATTTGTATATAAAGTTAAATGACTAATTTACCCTTGATTTGTTAAAATATTGGTGGGGGTGGCCAGTTAGTTTCCAGAATCTGATGGGGGCAATGGTTTTTAGACGAAATCTCCTGGGTAGTAATTAATGAACCATGTTTAAGAACAATGTAATTTATTATTTTAAAAAACATTTTTAATATTTTTTAATAAAAATAAACACATTTCATACTGTTAAGATATCAAAAAATATTTTAATGTTTTTCAATAAATCAATATAATTTAATCTACATTTTAAACCTTACTTTTACTAATTAATTAATATTAAAAAATATTAGAGATTATCTAAAACTTTTCTTTATTCTCACGCTGAGCAAACGCAAGACAATCCGAAAAAACGAGGACTCACACACATCACAGCACCCACCTTCTTTAATAGGGTTTATTTTCTGAAACTATCATCTTCTCACACTCTCACTCACAAATTATTTTCAATAAATGATAATTTAATTAATCGAACACTCCTCCAAATTTCCTCTTCTCAATCTCTAGGGTTCGTTTTCGGATTCTCTCTATCGCTTGTTTTGTAAGTACCGATCTTCATCCATCTCATTTCTCTCTCTCTCCGATTGGTCTGCATTTTCAATCGTTTATGTGCTGTTGCTTTAGCTTCTTTACGCATCAGTTTTATGATAATGAATACAGTTGAGTCATCTAGACTTTTTCCGTGTTTCTGAAAGAGATATAGAGCTGGAAATTGTTTTTATATTATGAATACACTTTAGTTTTATGCATTTGGTGAATGAGGAAATTCTTAATTGCTAAGTTCATTTTTTTTTCTTTTCTTTGTAATGTTTTACAGGCTTGAAGATTATATGTATGTGGCAAAGATTTGATATTAGCTCTAAATTTGGCGGTTGTATCATCGTTTAAGTTTTAACAGTGGAGATGTATGGGCAAGGGAGTTATAATTCTCAGTTTGGGCGGGGTCCTAACACACCTGTGCCACCACCATACCAACGGCAGCAGCTGCCTGGTCCTCCTCCTCTTCCTCCTAATTTCCAACCAGGCAAAGCAGCTCCACCTCCTTCGGTAATTCAACCCGGCCCTCCCATGTATCAACACGGTTTTCCTGGCCCACCTCCTGGGGTTTGCCAAGTTCCACCTCCCAGTTCTGTGCCTAACACTAGCCAATCTTATGCTGCTTCGCACTTAGGCCCCCCGAATGTGCATCATATGCCATCATCAGTACTTTCTCATCCTCCTAGAGTATTACCTCCCCCACCTCCTCGGCCGACAATGTACAGTGCTCCTGTGCATGTGCAGTCTCAGCAGCCTGGTGGTGTGCAAGATCTTCAGCGTATTCCACCGCCTCCTCCCCCCCAACCTACTTCTAGCTTTTTCACTTCCAGTTCATTTGGAAGTTATGTAAAGTCAACTGGTGGAAACTCTCATCCTTCCATTGCTCCCTTCCCAGCACCACTTCCACCTTCTTCGCCTCCACCAGTTCCACCTTCTCCACCCTCATCAACCTCTCCGTTGTCTTCTATGCATCACCAAGTTGGTTCCAACTTGACCAGTTTCAATGAACCATCTAGCTCTAAATTGAGTACTTCAAGTTCTGTTGGTAAAAATTTAGCTACCAATGAGGGCAAACACGTTCGAGATGTAACTAACAGTGGGTACATAAATCAGGAAGGTTCTCTAGTTGGAGATAGTTCATCATTAGGGGGCCATGTGATATTTGATCTTCCTCCACCTCCACCTATCCCACGAGAAGGAAAAGTTGTTCAGAAGATTGAAGAATTATGCAAGCTTATTGCTAAGAATGGTCTTGGATATGAAGATTTTGTTCGCCAAAACGAATCTGGAAATTCAGAGTTTCAATTTTTATTTCCTGGTGATCCAGGAAGTGAAGCTGCAATTGCTCATGAGTATTACTTGTGGATGAAGAAGAAATATATTTTGTTTGGTAAATTGAACGAAGAAAAAATTGATTCACGGCTGAAGCCTTTGGTTCCCTTTTCAAGTCAAACTGATAGTTTGGTGGTTGCACCTGGATCTATTTCACCTGCTGATTCGGACATGGAGATGGAAGGTAGGTTCATGATCATGTACTAAATATTTTCTGCTTCATGATGTTCATAAGTCTTCAATTTTTTCAATTGTGTATGTGTAGAATCATGTGGTGTTGGCTGATATCTGCTTTAGTGCTTTATATGTTTTCTTCTGTCTTTTTACCTCTTGGTGTCTAGTTTGGTAGAAGACTAGGAGCATAAACTTCTGCTTATATGATATACTGTTGGGTCTGGAATGGCCCTGCATGAAATCTTTGGTAATGTAGGATTTGACAAGGAAAAAAGGTTCATTTTATTCTTGTTTCCAATTGACGTGGTTGTTTGACATTCTAGTGATATGTCAGGTATTCAGAATTTTCTTATTCATTTTAGGGTTTGTGGTTTATTGTGTCAGGTGTGCAGAATTTAGGAGGATGTTGGGATAGAGAATGCTCTTTTGTACTCATGATTCCCTCAGCTCTATAGAATATCATGATTCATGTCCTCATAACCCTTCCTTCAAAAGCAGGTTGGTGACTGCCTTACCTTATTTGAGGAGGAATTGGAATTTCAACATCAAGAGGAACTTGAATGATAGAGAAACCCAAGAGTTCCCAGTTTAATTTTGTCGTGGAGAATATTCTCTTAAATAAATTGATGGGAGGATATGGTGGCCGAATACTTATTGCCTGTTCACTTGTAAATCCTATTTCAACTAGTTGATTGATTACCAATTTATATCAGATCTGGAATGCAAAATATCTCTTGCAAGGATTAACACAGGGGACATATTAGAAGGCACTTTCCTTATTTGAGTCTATCTACTTTATGGTGTGTCATTTGTAAAAGTAATTATGAAAATGTGGACCACCTATTCCTATATTGAGACTTATCTTTAACATTGTGATACAAATACTTCAGGTAGCCAGAATCTGGTGGGTTAGTCTAGTCTGATATAGCTTTATCTTTATAGTTGACTTTCAAGCGTTTGGTAGAGGAGGCAAAGCTAAAGTACTGTGGAGATATGTAGTTTTGGCTATTCTTTGGACAATTTAGCAAGAAAGAAACAGAAGGATGTTTGACGAAATTTGTGAGGAGTAACAAATCTTGATTGATAGCTTCCTGTTGGGCCCTTATCTCAGATGAATTCAAAGACATTTCGTCCTTCTTCATCCATTTGAATTGGGAGGGGTTCTCAGGTTAGTTTTGGATTTTGGGGTGGTTATTATAGTTTCTGAGTCAATATTGATTATGTAGCTGGTATTTTTTGGGAGCTATTTAGTATACAATTACATAGATGATTTTTTTAGCCATTTAGGTTTTGAGTTTCATGAACAAGTTCTGTTCTTGCAAATTATTTTCTTATTAATACAAGTTCTCTTTGTTTCTTGTAAAAAGAAAAACTGTATCTGGTCTGGTATTAAGACTTTTGACCACGAGGAAATTTCATGTTATTGCTTCATTGTTATAATGCATTTTATCATCTTTAATTGCCCCATCCCACAATTTGATGATATTTCAATGGAATGATTCTTGGTTAGTAGAAATGAGAAAATGAGATATGGTCAAATCGCTTGTGCTTTTTAATTGTATTCATAGTTTTATTTGGGCTTAATGTTTATCTGTGGCAGTTGTGAGGGTTGAGATTTTACTCAATTTATTTTCTTTGTTTTCCTCTTTGTGGGTTGATTGAAGATGATATCACCCAGTCTGTCAATGACAAGGGGGGGAATTTACCAGCTGAAGGTGCAAACAACGAGTTTGAAATGGTTACCTGTGGGCTTGATGCAAAAAAGCAGTTACATGTACAGCAGCTGTCAACACCTGGAGAAGTCTCATTCTGTAGGTTTGCCGGTCAGTATTACTATTAATTGATTTCTGTTTTCCATTATGATCAACTTGATCATTTCCTTCCCTTGTTCACTTACCCTTTAGTTTTGATATGATGTATTTCTCTTTAATAAAAAGAATCCTAGTGTGTTTATTATATCATTGCTTACTAGCTGTTGTTTGCAGAATGTTAATTGTTTACCTTACCCAAATTTTGTATTATTCTAGAAGGTTCCTATGATGTTTATGTTCTATTATGTACTTTGCTCACATTGGTCACCTAAGAATGACCTTTAGAGCTGTGCATGTTCAGTAAGTTTGAGTTTACTTTTGTGTCAAAATACAGGGGAAAAGGTTGTTTCCAGTAATGACCAATTAGCGATCGAGAGGCCACTTTCAAGAATTTGTAGCCCAGTGATCAATTCTGTTGATGTCTGGCCCTCTGCTAGCAATTTGAAGAAATCTGCCACACTCTTAGCTCATGACAAAATTGCACCTGGGGTTTCTGGAGCTGCTGATGGACTTAACCCGGAAAAGAATTCTTCTCAACTTATAAAAGGTGTTAGCCCATTTAGACTTTTACAAGAGTATGCTTCTGATGATGAATGTGTTGGTCCTATAAAGGATTCATCATCCCTTGCCGTTGGAGCTACAAGTCTTCTTACAGGTACCAAGAGTCAGTACGAAACTGAAAGTGGGTTTGGGCTGCACTCAGGATTGAATGTGTTTAATAAATCTGCAAATTTTCCTGAAGTTTCAAGAACAGAGGTTAAGGAAAACGCCACGGCATCCCTTGCCAGCGAGATAACTGGTGAACAGGTTGATAAGCATGAAAAACAAGCATCTATCAGTCATGTTGAATCTCCTCAAGCTTTGCGGGAAAAAGATCACTCGGAAGGGGCTTGTGTTGAAGCTTCTTTAAGTGGTAAGTTCCAGAAGGAAAATGAGGAAAAAGGTGCAAAATCTGCTTCCAATTTGCCTAAAGTAGACAAATTCGGGAGATTGGTCAGGGAGGGTGCTAGTGACAGTGACTCTGATGATCTAAGTTATAATGGGAGACAAAAGAAACGAGGCAGAAGTCGAAGCCGATCACCTCTTGATAGGCGGAGGAGGAGGAGTCCACGGAGGAGAAGGGAGAAACGAAGTCGATCTCGCAGGTATTGACTGTATGATGTTAATTTATTGGTTCATATTTTGCAGTTTTTCCATTCATGTTAAATTGCTTGTTTTGTTTAGCTGGTCTCCCAGAAATCGAAGAAGCAGGAGCAGGTCTCCTAGAAATCGGAGAAGCAGGAGTAGGTCTCCCAGAAATCGAAGAAGCCGGAGCAGGTCTCCTAGAAGGCGAAGAAGCCGGAGCAGGTCTCCTGTTTCTAGGCATGTTGGAGATTTCAGTGGTGACAGCATGAGACGGGAAAGGGGCCAGATTCCAGAGTGTTTTGACTTCCGTCGAGGCAGGTGCTACCGTGGAGCATCTTGTCGGTATTTGCACCATGATTCTGACAAGGGTGAGGGATCAAAGCGCCACAGGAGCAAACAACAGTACTTGGATGTTCCACCTATTCCAGAGAACTCTAATATACATGAAGACATGCAGCATAACTTATCAAAAGCATCAGATAAAGTGCATGATGAAGTCAAGATTACAGAAATGCAACACCGTCAAGATGTGCCTGGTAGCAGCTCTGGTCGATTAATTGATTCTCACAGAATTAAATCTGGAAGCTCTAGAGAGGCTGCTGCCAAAGTGTCAGAAACACAGTTTCTTGAAGGGCAGACAGAAGTGCCCACTCTCACTAATAAGATATGGCAGGAGTCATTTGAGTCTCAACACTTAAAGTTGGTGGTTCGTTTTCCTCCCTATGCTTCTAAAAAAGAGCTTCCTCTGGAGAAATCTGTGGTTGAGCAATCTCAACCTCATCTATCAGAACCAGTGCCTCAAAATCCTGATTGCCCTCGTCAGCTGACAGATAACTCTTCTGTTTCAGATTTTGCTCCAGAACAAACATCCATGACTACAGTAAATAAGTTTCCTGTTAATGAAGCTTTACAAAATACAGAAAACTTTAGGCATCATTCTCCTCAGCTGCCTCCTCCTCCTCCCCCACTCTCACAGGGTATAACTGCTCAACATATGACCCAGCCTCCACAGGATGCATCCTTTCCGCACCAATCAACTTCTGGGGAAAGGTTTCCTTCTTATATGTTGCCCAACCAACCATCTCATTTCTCTGTATCATCAGTTGCCTCTTGGACATCATTGCCACCCCCACCACCAGGAGTTTCGACACAGTTACAGCAGAGTCACTTGGCTCCTAGGGATGGTTCTCAATTTATTCCAAAACCATACACTGCTGAATTGCCTACTTCTTCTCAGGTTGGTGATTTTCAGCAGCGAGCATACTCCTCCATGCAGGAGAGTCAACGATCACTCTCACATGCAGAAGACTATAAATTAAAGCCTCTGCCCCCATACAACTTGACACAACTTCCTATGATGGGTACAAGTGTTTCTTCCTTTTCTCAGGGTAAAAATCAGCCTCTACCTTCGTCCTTTTCACTGGAATTACCTGCAAACAGAATGCAAAATTTTCCTGGTGACAAATTGCCTCCAGGCGAACGTATAAAATCAGCTTCTCAGATTCATCCTTACCTGCAGCAACAACAGCCACCGTATGGTTTGCCCCATCTGGCAGCTGCCAATTCCTCTTCCACATATCCACCAGATCTTCAGGAAACAAATCAGTCATCTCACCTGCCTGATTTGAGAGGATCAAGAAATTCCACTCACTATGGCCCTTACACATCTACTTTGGAGCAGCCACCAAGCTCCAAATTCAGTTCTGATGTTTTGAGGCAAGAGCAAGACCCAAGCCACTTTAATAGGCATGCTGCTGCTTTCGGTTTGAGCCATGGTCAAGTTGATGGGCAAAATATTGGCAGTACCTTATCAAGACAGGCAACTTCCTCACCAAATTCATCGAGGGCTGTCGGACAGAATTTTCCTAGGTCTGGTGGTGACCAGTACGATCCACTTCTTGACAGCATTGATCCATCTTCAAACTTGTCCAAATCCAAGGAATATAATAATGCTCAAAAGTTGGAACCCAGCAGTGACTCTGACATCATGTTAAGGCACAGTGGCTCGAACAAACCATTGGATGTGGAAGAAAACAACAGGAAGAAAGAGGTTGGGGGTGTTGAAGTTGCAACTTCTGTGGATGATGAGGAGTATGGTGAGACTGCTGATGCTGAAGTGGGGGCTGTTGAGAATGAGAGCCCAAGCAATCCTATTCATGCAGCCAGCATTCCTGCGGGTGAGATTGAGATTGACCAGATAAAGTCCCCGGGGAAGAGCAGGAAGAATAAAGAGTCCCGATCAATGAAGCTCTTTAAGGCTGCCCTTGCAGATTTTGTAAAGGAGGTTTTGAAACCGTCTTGGCGGCAGGGTAATATGAGTAAGGAAGCATTCAAGACCATTGTCAAGAAGACTGTTGATAAGGTCTCAGGAGCCATGAAGAGTCATCAGATACCCAAGTCTCGTGCAAAGATAGATCAATACATTGACTCTTCGCAGCGGAAACTCACAAAACTTGTCACGGTAATTCTTTAGTTTAGTCTTTTCTGTTGTTGCATGGGTATTATGTGATGTAATTGACAGATAGGAACACACACATACATGCATACACAGCTTTTGATTTAGATTTTTTTCAACAGTTTATTGTGATGGAGAAAAAGGAAGTGATATTGAGTTTCATCTAGATGCATTGGCTTTCTGACACTAAAACTCTAACATGCCATTTTTTAAAGTCCTGAAGAGCCCAAATGCCTTTATGCTCCATTCATGAGAACATCAACAACTTGTTTCTGATTATGATTTCTGATTGTCCGAACTGAACATGTTCATTTAGTAGTATACATAGAATCCTGTTTCACATGCCTTAAATGTGTCCTTTCCTCTCACCCAAAGAAAAACGGAAAAAGGAAATAAGTAGATGAAAAATGTATAGAAGGGTTGCTAATATAGGATTGTTTAAATTCTGTTGGGAAAGTTTGGTTTGATTCAGAAATCAGTTTTAATATTCTCAGTGGGTTCTACATGGAAAAGAATTTTGACTGGACAGTCTGATGTATGTGATGCTTTGATCTTCTGTTGCAGGGCTATGTTGATAAGTACGTCAAAATGTGAACATTAGTAAGTGTTATTATCCCAGGCAAGAACTACAGATAATTTGCCAATATTTTTGACAACGAACACAGTGGTGCGAGGATGGATGAAAAATTTTTAGTTCATTGATAGAATATTGTTTCTTTGTTGTAAAGTTTGTACCCGATACATTCAGGTCGAGTTCTTGGCAGCTTTTTTCCAACCTCAGCCGAGTGCTGAGGAAGTACCAAAACATGTATGTATGTTTCTTTGAAAATGAAGATGGTGGCTTTGTTTGGTGTATAATGTGCAATAACTGCAAAAGCGAAAGAAAGTAAATTATTTTTTGGGTAGTTTTTAACTTTTTATTGTTCAATTTCTTTTAGTTTGCAGTGACATGACAGCAGTCGAACTTCTTATGTATTAATATTGTTGTGTTATTTAAGATTATAAATTTATAATAAAAACAATATTTAGCCGGAGATCTGGTGGATCTGACTGGAAAAGATCATAGCGACGTATTACGACACAGATTCGATCGGTCTGTGTTGTAACGAAATTTTTCATCCAGATTCCAGCGGTGGTGGTCGGAATCTGGCACTGCAGGTAATAGGGGTGTTTTTGTTATTTTATATATTAGGGTGTTTAATTAAATTAGTAAACCTAGAGGTTTTTTCATAAATTTTTAAATTTTATCTTGTAATACTTTCTTATTTAACTACCTAATATTATTCCCAAAATCCTATCTAAAATAATAAACTAAATACACCCTAAAGTACTGATTTTTTTAATTAATTGATGGGTAATTTTCTCGAAAAATGACAACTGGGATACAAATAGCCCATAAATTTCTGAATAAAGCCCTTCCTGTTTCACTTTTGAATTTTTTTTTTTATTATCTTACTTCCATAAAAAAAACAGAATATATGTTTATTTGTTTATTGACATCATTATTCTGAAAATTAATTGGAATCAAATAAGATTTTTTTTATTGACAATGAAAAGAGAGGGACTTGTTTTCTATTATCATATTCTATTCAACTTAAAACATTTTTTTCAACTCTATTTAACTAAAAACAATTACTTTTCATTCATTCCAATTTGAAAATTAATCTACCTAACACCATCATCGCTTGCCAGTAACCACCGTCGGTCGACGGTCGTTGGTGTCAAAACAACGCATGATCGGTCGGATCTAGCTGGTCATGTGTCAATGTTGCCGTTTTCAGAGATGGCCATATCTACGGTTAGATTCTGGCCAGATCTAGCCGTTAACGACCAGATTTTGGTTGTCGTTTTAGTTAATTTTTAAAGTTTTATTATGTTTAGTTAAATTAACAAATGTAAGGGGTTAAAATAATCTAAATATTTTCAGAAAATGTTTTCTAAAAAGAATAATGCTACGGACACTGATGTTTTGCACCGAAATGTTAAACCGAACGATGTGTCACCTGAGTCAAACAAGCCACATAACACGTTAAGTAATATTTCGCGAATGAACGGTCGTCCATCAAATATGGACGGCCGTCCATTTTTATTGGACGATCGTTCATTTGAAATGGACGGGAGTCCACTTATAAGGACGCCCGTCCATAATTTAAATTAAAAAATTTTAATAAAAAATTCATGGACGCCCGTCCATATATTATGGACGAGCGTCCCTACTTAATGGACATAAGTCCCTATTAGATGGACGCCCATCTATTATTTTAATTAAAAAAAAAATTGAAAACAAAAGTAATCTCATTTTTTTAGCCAAAGTCTGTGAACATTCATGACACCTATTTCTTTACTTTATTTTTTATTTCAGATGGTGGACCCCTTGACTGCATTGATGTATACATGGCACCTGTTTCTTTACTTTATTTTTTATTACAGATGATGGACCCTCTATTGATGTACGCAGTTCAAGTGATGAACTTTTATTTACTTAGTGTTTGTGTTTGAAAATAAATAGAAATAGGAGTTTAGAAGAAGAAAATAGAAAGAACATTGCGGGAAAGAGGACATTCTGTTGTAGAGCAGAGTCCCTATTTAATGGAAGAAAATGGACGGGCGTCCATCTAAGAGGGACGCCCATCCATTGCTTTTGTTTGTTTGTTTGTTTATTATTTTTTTTTAATTTAAACAATGGACGGGCGTCCATCTAATAGGAACGCCCGTCCATTAAATAGAGATGCTCGTCTATAATATATGGACGGGCGTCCATAATTTTTGTTATCAATTTTTTTTAATTTAAACTATGAACGAGCATCCTTATAGGTGGACTCTCATCCAATAAGTAAGGATGCCCGTCCATTTCAAATGAACGACGGTCCAATAAAAATGGACGACCGTCCATATTTGATGGACGACCATTCATTCGCGAAATATTTCTTAACGTGTTACGTGGCTCGTCTGACTCAAGTGACACGTCGTTCGATTTAACATTTCGATACAAAGCGTCGGTGTCCATAGCATTATTGTTCCAAAAATGTATCAAATAACTATTCAACATTTTATCCGGATAAAATTTTAAGATATTATACCAAACATATTCTTATAATCTTATCCTATTCGATTTAATCTAATTTAATTCAACTTAAAATAATTTTTTAGAATAACATTTTTCAAATAATCTACCAGGCCCCAAAATTAAATACAAGGTAATTTTATAAAATTCAAAGTTACTAATGTCATTATTTTATAAAAAATCTGAATGTCATTTTTTTAAACATTTGGAATATTAAATTAGAGTTTATTTATTTTTTTTTTTTTTTATCATTAAAAGTCTTAAATTATACCATTCGGTATTTTGATTTGATTATCACTGGTATATTACAACTAGACATGGGGCTTGCGGGTTATGTAAGTATGTTTATTTAATGTTTTTGAAATAGATTGTAAACAAATTTATTCTAACAAAATAAACTAATTAGATTAAGACATAATAATTATTAAATTATACAAATTTTAAAGTAAATATAAATTGTATATATATACAAAGTTGTATTAAGATAAAATTAATAATTATACCTGTATAATTATTAATATTAATTATAGGTAGATGTTATTAAATCATTCATCAAACTTCAGAAAATCACCTGAATATTATATGGTCTAATTATATTTTCAAGATCATCACTTTGTACAATTGATATCATCTATATAGACATATCTTTGATATTCGATGTCAGTATTTTATAGTGAATCGTGTATAATATTTAATATCACCTTAATATAATCAAGATCAACTATTTAAACTTAAAATATATATTGACTTTCTGCAATTTCTGTAACTTATATTCATTTTCAAGTTGTATTGCGCGGGCATGTTTATTATATTTTTTTTTACATTATTATTGGTTTTTTTGTGTTTTAAATATATATTTTCTATATTGAAGTTCATATTATATTGAATTGATAATTAAAAAATCAATAAATAAAATATCCATAATTGACCTCGAAGTCTATATCATCATGGTTCTTCTCAAATATGTCACCATTTGATATTTGCAACCAAAGTTTAAAACTTTATCAAAAAAGCAAAAAAAATTGCAGGATAACCTACTGGGTATTATTGATAAGTCTATAAATCAATCAGAGAAAGAGAACTTTTAAGCAAGAGACTTGCAGAGCCAATGGAAAAAACTAATTTTGACTGTTGAGAAGAGAAAATGAATTATTTTTATTATTATTATTTTAGAAATAAAAAAAAATTAATAATGTTGAGAAGAAAACTCACATAGAAAGTAACAACAACTCCAACAGTATAATATAAAGTCAACTTAATTGAAGCATTGAAGAAACCATGAAGATAAAGGTCCTTGACACAAATACATTTGCTGCAAATAAAATTGACCATCACCTATAACCAAAAAAGCATTGGATGATAGCATCCTAAAGAAAGAAGATAATTGTAAAACCCACAAACCAAACAACAAAATCAATCCAAAAATCAACAAAAAGAGATAGAACAAGTACAATTAAAACTACATATCAATATTTGTTTTATTTTATCATCACTAAAATTGAATTTGTTTTATGTGTATGACGATAAAATGAATGGTTCGGTAGCAGGTTTATAGTTATCCAAATTCATCATATCATATATCAAATTAAAGCTCCATCTTTCTAATTTTCAAATATTAAACCGCTCATAAATTAGATTTTTATTGAGTACGTTATGACTAATTTACTACTGACTATTCAGTAAAAATCGAGAAATAGGGAAAACTAAAATGTGTGTGATGATAAAAGGAATAGTTCGACAGTGGGGCTATAATTATCCAATTTAAGCGTATAATTTATCAAATTAAAGCCCTGCCTATCTAGTTTTTAATGATTCAAATCTCTCATCAATTGGATTTTTATTAAGCAAGTTATAATCAATTTACTACTGATTGTTCAGTGAAAACCTAAACGTGTGTGATGATAAAATGAATGGTTTACTAAAGCTACATGATTCAACATCAAACATCAGTTAATATTTGTTAAATAAATGAAATTAGTTATATTCAGAAACAACCTCTTTTCATGATATATGTATGTAACATAAAAAAATATCAACAAAAAGAGATAGAACAATTACAATTAAAACTATATATCAATATTTGTTTTCCCTTAAGGATAATAATAATGGTTCGGCATATTACAAATGGTTTACTGAAGCTATATGGTTCAGCAACAAACATCAGATGATATTTGTGATACAAATAAAATTTGTTATATTCAGTAACAACCTGTTTTTGATATATGTATGTAACATAAAAAAATATCAACAAAAAGAGATATAACAAATACAATTAAAACTACATATTAATCTTTGTTTCCTTTGTCATCACTAAAATTGAATTGGTTTTATATGTGTGGGGATAAAATGAATGGTTCAGCTGCAGATCTATAGTTATCGAAATTCATCGTATAATATATCAAATTAAAGCTTTATCTTTCTAGTTTTCAAAGATTCAAACTGCTCATCAATTGGATTTTTATTGAGTAAGTTATGAACAATTTACTACTTATTGTTCAATGGAAATCGAGAAACAAGAGAAACCAAAATGTGTGTGAAGATAAAAGGAATAGTTTGGAAGTAGGGCTAAATTTATCCAAATTAAGCGTATAATATATCAAATTAAAGCCCTATCTTTCTAGTTTCTAGATATTCAAACCTCTCATCAATTGAAGTTTTATTGAGCAAGTTATAGTCAATTTACTACTGATTGTTCAGTGGAAACTGAAATGCATATGACGATAAAATGAATGGTTTACTTAACCCAAATTTAAGGGATTATCATATTAGGACTGATAAGAAATATTTCAAATAACACCTATTAATTGGAAAATAAAATCAGCCAAAATTAATTCATTTAATATATATACTCGCACATCAGTAGGACATAAACAATTAATCATTCATATAACAAATTAAAATACACGAATGTTTTTACAGAAAACATATTCAACACAAATGAACTGTTTTCACTAATATAGATATGACACATACTCACAGTTCGACTAACAATAGGATCATCTTCGATTTGATCTTAGTAAAGTACATGAGCATTTTCTTGAAAACAAACATAACAAAATTTAATTGATCTTCATGTTAAGATTATTAAGGAATAATTATTCATTCGTATAACAACTGTTACTTGAAAACGAAATCAATAAAAATTAATTAATTTTCATATTAAAATTGTTAAGGAATACACTTACCGTTCGGCATGACTAACATAATTAATCATTCAAATAGATTGACCGAATAAAAACAATTATTCAATCAAATAATAATCATTAAAATAATTAGGAGATGTACTTATGATTTCGTATTAAAAATAGTTAGAAGATATACTTACAGTTCAGAAGAACGAATCAAAATAACAACTCATTTGACAATGTCAATTGGACATCCTGCCTTTATTCTATGTCAATTCATGAATCTTTGACCTGTAAACAACAGATATAAATAAAAAATCACCAATTAACAAAATCATGAAGAATATGTGTATTATTGACCAAACTAACATGCCTATAAACATTTAACAAAACCAGACATATTATTTAGGGTGTTTCAAATTTTCGGTTAACCGAAAAACCGGTTAACCACTTTTTTTAAAGCGGTTAACCGGTTTTGAACCGGTTTTCCTTTTTTTTTATAAAACTTATTTTTTTTATTTTTTCTTAAATTAAATTGTAAATATAAATAATACATATCCAAATAAAAATTAGACATTCATATATATTCATTGACTACTACTAACGATACATTAAAAATATTATTATTTTTTATTTTTATTTAATATATAATATATAATATTATTATTTTTTATTTAATATATAATATTTATTTTTATTTAATATATATATATATATATATATTTTGTAAAACCGGTTCAAAAAACCGGTTTCGGTTAACCGCTTTGTATTTTTTCCCGAACCGTTAACCGAACCGGAAATTCGGTTTTTTGAATTTTTCGAACCGTAACCGAACCGTTTTTTCGGTTAACCGGTTTTTCGGTTCGGTTACCGGTTCGGTTCGGTTTTTGCATTTTTTTGAACACCCCTAATATTATTGACACCAACTAACATATTGCGATAATATACAATTGAACATACGCCCATTTTATAAGCCCTTATTTAGACCTTTTGAATGCCAACACAATTAAATATGAAAAAAAGTTTGCAATGTCAATACAATGCACTTATATAATTATTAATAGCAATCATAGACATACGTAGTTAAACCAGAATTATTAATAGCAATCCAATGCATCTGTATACTTGTTATTAATGCACATCCAACGTGTTAAAATAGTTACAGCTTTGGAATGCCAATGCAATGCACCTATATTATTGTTATTGGAATATCCAACTTTGAAATACCATATATCTCATTAAACCATATATCCAACTTTGAAATACCAATGCAGCAATTAATATTGTCTACATCATCACCAATAAAATTCAACCACATGGCAATCACAAATCTAAAGTGTCATTATAGTTAGACATTTGAAATGTCAATTCAATACACCTATATAATTAGTATTATTATTAATTTTTAATACAATTTTTATTAATTATTAATACAAATTCAACATGTCAAGATAGAACAATAAATACAAACTCAATGTGTCAAGATGAAACAATTTGATTGGGCTCATTAAACCACAAATGCTAGTTGTTAATCAAATGTGTTAAAATGAAACAATTTTAGAGCTTCCAAAATGTACCACGTCTCGATCAACCAAGATGGATATTCAGCTATATATATATATATATATATTGTATTCTCACTTATACAAAAACCAAAAGAATATCATGTGTGTTTGTTTTATTATTTTGGATAATATTTTTGATATTTTTAGAGTTGGGTGGGAATAATGAGGTAGAATTTAAAAATTAATAAAAACACTCTCCTAGGTTTGTTAAATAACTGAACACCCTTGTAATAAAAACATTAAAAATTACAAAAATACCCTCACTCACCCATTAAATTTTGGCAGCCTACATTAAAAATTACAAAAATATCCTCACTCACCCATTAAATTTTGGCAGCCAGCCACCACCGTTGGAGGGTGGTCGGAGTCGCTGTATCGGCACAAGATCGACTGAAAAATGCCAGATCTACGACCATATCTGACCATGTTTGGTCGTCAACGATGGCCAAAGATATGGCTATCGTTGTCGACCAGATCTGGTTGAACAATGATAGATTGATCGGTTTGATCCAGTCGGTAGTGTACCATTATAGTAGATTCTGGTCACATTTTGGTGATGGTGGTTAGAATTTGGTAAATGTGAGTAAGTGAGCGCGTTTTTGTTAATTTTTAAATTTTTTTTTTAGGGGTGTTAAATGAAATTAATAAACTTAAGAGGTTTCAAACTAATTGAAGAAAATATAATAATATTTTCAGAGTAGGAAACACACAGTTATTTTGAAAATAGTATGGGCTGCGTTTGGTGTAATATTTTTATCCCTATTCTGGATCCTATTTTTCAAATAGCGTTTGGTACAATATTCTAAAAATATTACCCTATTTCTTTTAATTACATTTTAACCCCATAAAGTTATTAATTTCACTAAATACCCCCTAAAAAAAAAGTTTAAAAATTAACAAAAACACCCCCATCAACCCAACTTGTCAGATTCCGGCCACCACCGTCGGTGATAGCCGGAATCTGTACAACGGCCAAACTTCCGACCAGAAATGGCCGGAAGTTCACCGCTGTGGCCTTTTCCGGCCAGATCCACCACGGATCTGGCCGGAAAAGGCCAGATCTGGCCGTCAGCGACGGCCAAAGAAATGGCCGTCGTTGACGGTCAACGACGGCCAAATCTTGGCCGTCGTTGACCGAAAACGACGGCCACATCTTTGGCCGTCGCTGACGGCCAAAGATGGCCGTCGTTTGGCATTTTCCGGCCGTCGACGGCCAAAACAAACGGTAGATCTGGCCTTTTCCGGCCAGATCCACCATGGATCTAGCCGGAAAAGGCCATAACGACGTGTTACGGCACAGATCCGACAAGTCTGTGCCGTAACGAAATTTTTCGGCCAGATTCCGGCGGTGGTGGCCGGAATCTGACACTGCAGATGGTGGGGGTGTTTTTGTCATTTTACATGTTAGGGTCTTTATGTAAATTAGTAAACCTAAGGGCTTTTTTATAAATTTTTAAAATTTACCTCGTAATACTCCCATATCCAATAACCCAATACTATCCCTAAAATCCTATCCAAAATACTAAACCAAACACACCCATGAATATGATAGTTAAAAATATTTAAATAAACAGATCCAAAATTGTTTACGCAAAATGAGAAAACAAAAACCCTAATTCACAACGACCCACCTCTAATGTGTTTGGCAACAGGGCTCACATTCACCGGCACTCGGAATCCCAATGAATGTGGTTACAATACCAAAACACAATCAACGGAGCTTCCTAATTAAACCTATCCCCCAGCGACGCAACACAAACACAAGACTTATAATTGTATGTTAACGTGCTCCTTTAAGCTTTAACCGTCCTTCAGATTTCATTCTCTGCTCCTTGAGGTTTTACTTTCTCTCTCTGTTATCTTATTATGATTCTGTACTTGTTTCTTAGTTTTGTTTGCTTTTTGAGTGTTTGGTTGTTTTTGTTTATTAAACGGAGTGGGAAATTAGTAAAATGAATTGGGAATTTTAAAAAAGTATTGGGTTTCTGATTTTTTAAGATGATTGGTTGCAGTTAAGTTGAGTGGAGATGAAACTATGCTGTTAACTTTTAGATTAATTAGTTACTTTTTGCTTAGTTAAACTTGTGTTACTCTACTTGTGTTCTGTAATAGTTAAGATTGTCAGCTTGATTGTTGTATAGTTATTTTAAGTGGATTCTGTTGTGTATCTGTTTTTGTGTTGTTTAGTGGTGTATTGAGTTAGCATTTGCTTAGTACTTTCTTTGTTTCTGAAACTTTGATGAGAAAATGGCGTGTTGATATATGGTCAAAAGAAAAAATAAAAAAATAAAGCATATTAAGTTGTTTTAAAAATATAATGATATTGAAGAAGGTTAAATAAAGTGTGGAAAACTGGAAAGTAGTGGAAAAGGGTGGCCTGAGATTTAATCTGTTTTTTATCTGAATGGACAGTGTTGTGTTCATTGTAATTGGGCATCAATTTAACAAATTAAGAGAGTTTTAATGGTTTTTATCTTTGTGTATAGCCTGTATCTTTTGCCAGTCGTGGAAACTGCTGCTCCATAATAAAAAATGTCCAAACAGAATAATGGTTTCAGTTGATGATTTTGCAGGTAATTTCCAAGAAAAGGTAGACAAGATTGCTAGGAATAGACAGAGAAGAAGGAAATTTTGCATCTCTCTAAACTGTTTTTCAAGAGGTTGCAAAGGAGGCCTTGAATTATGTGGAGATGATTTTATTAGGAACCGAATGATGAGGGAATGTTCCTGAATGGGTATGCTGAAACGTCTGGGTGATGCTAAGCTTATTCAACGTAGAACATGTATTTTTCAGAAAAAAATAAAATTTATGGTCTGTGGTTATTGTTACTGTGGTGATGGTTTTGGAGATGGCTTTATGTAATGCAGAATCAAGTTCATTTATGGCCGAGAGGAAAAGGAAAAGGGGGAATGGGGAGCATAATGCTTTGTGTAATAATAATGATAGAAGTCACAATTGTTCAGAGGACACTTCTTTTGTGCAGGAGATTCCACTGGAAACAGATTCACATGTAGACTCTACAGTCAATATTAGCTTGGAGTCTGGCTTGACAGAGGCGCTTTCTAATTCCAATTCGAATTGTTTGAAGAAGAAAAATAAAAAAAGGAAGAAGAAGATCATGATTAATGCACCTAAAACTGGTAATACAGATGTTGATCTTCAGGGTTTTACTTCTGAAGCAATGATTACTCCCTTCAGAACAGAGGCTCCTGTTGATGTAAGCATGAAGAAGGTTTCTGAAACTTCTCCGTTTGAAGTAGATGTTATCGTTGATACGAGCACAAAGATGGATTTGGTGGCTACTACTGTTAAAGTAGGGAGCTTCTTGAATAATAATAATAATGATACAAGTCATAATTGTCCCGAGGGAGCTTCTTTAATGCAGGGTCTTCCACTGGGTAGAGATTCATATGTAGAATCCACGGTCAAACTTGGTTCAGAGTCTGGTTTGATGGAGGCACAATCTAATTCCAATTTTGATTGTTTGCATAATGAGAAAAAGAAAAAGAGGCCGAAGAAGAAAAAGAGGCATAATGCTCCTAAAAGTGATGATATAGATGCTAATCTTCAGGAAGTTACTTCTGAAACTATAACTGCTCCCTTATTAACAGAAGCTTCTGTTGATGTGAGCATAAAGAAGGTTCCTGAAACTGCTCCCAGTAAAGTGGAGGTTATGTGTGATACAAGCCCAAAGATGGATTTGGTGGCTACTGGAATATTAAATTAGAGTTATTTTTTTTTTTTTTATCATTAAAAGTCTTAAATTATACCATCGTATTGATTTGATTATCACTGGTATATTACAACTGACATGGGCTTGCGGGTAGTAAGATGTTTATAATGTTTTTGAAATAGATTGTAAAAATTTATTCTAACAAAATAAACTAATTAGATTAAGACATAATAATTTTTAATTATACAAATTTTAAAGTAATATAAATTGTATTAATACAAAGTTGTATTAAGATAAAATTAATAATTACCTATATAATTATTAATATTAATTATAGGTAGATGTTATTAAATCATTCATCAAACTTCAGAAAATCACCTGAATATATATGGTCTAATTATATTTTCAAGATCATCACCTTGTACAATTGATATTATCTATAGACATATCTTTGATATTCGATGTCAGTATTTATAGTGAATCGTGTATAATATTTAATATCACTTAATATATCAAGATCAACTATTTAAACTAAAATATATATTGACTTTCTGCAATTTCTTAATTTATTCATTTTCAAGTTGATTACGCGGACATGTTATTATATTTTTTTTACATTATTATTGGTTTTTTTGTGTTTTAAATATATTTTCTATATTGAAGTTCATATTATTGAATTGATGATTAAAAAATCAATAAATAAAATATCCACAAATTGACCTCGAAGTCTATATCATCATGGTTCTTCTCAATATGTCACCATTTGATATTTGCAACCAAAGTTTAAAACTTTATCAAAAAAGAAAAAAATTGCAGATAACCTACTGGGTATTATTGAAAGTTATAAATCAATCAGAAAGAGAAACTGTAAATTGAACTTTTAGCAAGAGACTTGCAGAGCAAGGAAAAAACTAATTTTGACTGTTGAGAAGAGAAATGAATTATTTTTATTATTATTATTTTAGAAATAAAAAAAAATTAAAATGTTGAAAAGAAACTCACATAGAAAGTAACACAAACTAACAGTATAATATAAGCAACTTAATTGAAGCATTGAAGAAACCATGAAGATAAAGGTCCTTGACAAAATATTTGCTGCAAATAAATTGACCACCACTATAACCAAAAAAGCATTGGATGATAGCATCTAAAGAAAGAAGATAATGTAAAACCCCAAACCACAAACCAACAAAAATCAATCAAAAATCAACAAAAGAGATAGAACAAGTACAATTAAAACTACTATCAATATTTTTTTATTTTTCATCACTAAAATTGAATTTGTTTTATGTGTGACGATAAAATGAATGGTTCGGTAGCAGGTTTATAGTTATATAAATTCATCATATCATATATCAAATTAAAGCTCATCTTTCTAATTTCAAATATTAAACCGCTCAAATGATTTTTATTGAGACGTTATGACTAATTTACTACTACTATTCAGTAAAAATCGAGAAATAGGGAAAACTAAAATGTTGTGATGAAAAGGAATAGTTCGACAGTGGGGCTATAATATCCAATTTAAGCGTAATTTATCAAATTAAAGCCTGCCTATCTAGTTTTTAATGATTCAAATCTTCATCCAATTGGATTTTTATTAAGCAAGTTATATCAATTTACTAGATTGTTCAGTGAAAACCTAAACGTGTGTGATGAAAATGAATGGTTTACTAAAGCTACATGATTCACATCAAACATCAGTTATATTTGTTAATAAATGAAATTAGTTATATTCAGAACAACTCTTTTCATGATATATGTATGTACATAAAAAAATATCAACAAAAAGAGATAGAACAATTACAATTAAAACTACATATCAATATTTGTTTTCCTTAAGGATAATAATAATGGTTCGGCATATTACAAATGGTTTACTGAACTATATGGTTCGACAACAAACATCAATGATATTTGTGATACAAATAAAATTTGTTATATTCATAACAACTGTTTTTGATATATGTATGTAACATAAAAAAATATCACAAAAAGAGATATAACAAATACAATTAAAACTACATATAATCTTTGTTTCCTTTGTCATCACTAAAATTGAATTGTTTTATATGTGTGGGGATAAAATGAATGGTTCAGCTGCAGTCTCTAGTTATCGAAATTCATCGTATAATATATCAAATTAAAGCTTTATCTTTCTAGTTTTTAAAGATTCAAACGCTCATCAATTGGATTTTTATTGAGTAAGTTATAACAATTTACTACTTATTGTTTATGAATCGAGAAACAAGGAAACCAAAATGTTGTGAAGATAAAAGAATGTTTGGAAGTAGGCTAAATTTATCCAAATTAACGTATAATATATCAAATTAAAGCTCCTATCTTTCTAGTTTCTAGAGATTCAAACCTCTCATCAATTAGAGTAACATTTACTACTGATTGTTCAGTGGAAACTAAATGCATTGACGATAAAATGAATGGTTTACTTAACCCAAATTAAGGGATTATCATATTAGGACTGATAAGAAAATTTCAAATAACACCTATTAATGGAAAAAATCAGCCAAAATTAATTCATTTAATATATATATTCGCACATCAGTAGGACATAAACAATTAATCATTCATATAACAAATTAAAATACAGAATTTTTTACAGAAAACATATTCAACACAAATGAACTGTTTTTCACTATATAGATATGACACATACTCACAGTTCGCTGACAATAGGATCATCTTCGATTTGATCTTAGTAAAGTACATGAGCATTTCTTTGAAAACAAACATAACAAAATTTAATTGATCTTCATGTTAAGATTATTAAGAATAATTATTCATTCGTATAACAATGTTACTTGAAAACGAAATCAACAAAATTAATTAATTTTCATATTAAAATTGTTAAGGAATACACTTACCGTTCGCATGACTAACATAATATCATTCAAATAGATGACCAATAAAAACAATTATTCAATCAAATAATAATCTTAAATATTAGGAGATGTACTTATGATTTCGTATTAAAATAGTTAGAAGATATACTTACAGTTCAGAAGAACGAATCAAAATAACAACTCATTTGAAATGTCAATTGGACATCCTGCCTTTATTCTATGTCAATTCATGAATCTTTGACCTGTAAACAACAACAAAGACATATAAATAAAAAACATCAATTAACAAAATCATGAAGAATATGTGTATTATTGACACAAACTAACATGACCTATAAACAATTAACAAAGACCAGACATATTTTGACACAACTAACATATTATGATAATATACAATTGAACATACACCCATTTATAACCCTTATTAGACTTTTTGAATACCAACACAATTAAATATGAAAAAAAGTTTGCAATGTCAATACATGCAATATATAATTATTAATAGCAATCATAAACATATGTAATTAAACAGAATTATTAATAGATCCAATGCATCTGTATACTTGTTATAATGAACACTCCAAACCGTTAAAATGTTACAGCTTGGAATGCCAATGCAATGCACCTATATTATGTTATTGGAATATCAATGCAGTGCATTAATATCTCATTAAACCAATATCCAACTTTGAAATACCAATGCAGCAATTAATATTGTCATATCGTCACCAATAAAATTCAACCAGATGGCATCACAAATCTAAAGTGTCGTTATAGTTAGACATTTGAAATGTTAATTCAATACACCTATATAATTAGTATTATTATTAATTTTTAATACATTTTTTATTAAATTAATACAATCAACATGTGAAGATAGAACAATAAATACAAACTAATGTGTCAAGATGAAGCAATTTGATTGGGCTCATTAAACCACAAATGCTAGTTGTTAATCAAATGTGTTAAAATGGAACAATTTTAGAGCTTCCAAAATGTGCCACGTGTCGATCAACCAAGATGGATATTCAGCTTTATAATATATATATTATATATATATATATATATATTATATATAATATATTGTATTCTCACTTATACAAAAACCAAAAGAATATCATGTGTGTTGTTTTAGTATTTTGGATAGTATTTTTGATAATTTTAGAGTTGGGTGGGAATAACGAGATAGGATTTAAAAATAACAAAAACACTCTTCTAAGTTGTGTAAACAACTGAAAACCCCGTATAAAACATTAAAAATTACAAAACACCCCCATTCACCCATTAAATTCTGGTAGCTGGCCACCACCGCTGGAGGGTGGCGGAGTCGCCGTATCGGTACAAGATCGGCTGGATCTGGCTGGTCGTGCACGAGATGACATTTTTCAGCTAGATACCAGTGGATCTGGCTGAAAAATGCCAGATCTATGACCAGATCTGACCAGTTTTAGTCGTTAACGACGGCCAAAAGATTGACCGTCATTGGCGACTAGATCTGGACGAAAATTGATAGATCGATATACTATTAGCAGATCCAATCAGTAGTATGCCAATACTAGATTCTAACCATATTTTGGTGATGGGGCTGGAATTTGACAAATTTGGATGGGTGACGGTGTTTTTATTAATTTAAAATTTTTTTTAAGGGTATTTAATTAAATTAATAAACTTAAGAAGTTTAAAATAATTAAAAAAATATAATAGCAATTATTTGAGAATAGTATGAATGATAGTTAAACAAACAGTAATTTTGAAAATAGCAGTTTCCAACCTCAGCCGAGTTCTGAGGAAGTACCAAAACATGTATGTATGTTTCTTTGAAAATGAAGATGGTGGCTTTGTTTGGTGTATAATGTGCAATAACTGCAAAAGCGAAAGAAAGTAAATTATTTTTTGGGTAGTTTTTAACTATTTATTGTTCAATTTCTTTTAGTTTGCAGTGACATGACAGCAGTCGAACTTCTTATGTATTAATATTGTTGTGTAACTTGTGTTATTTAAGATTATAAATTTATAATAAAAACAATATTTAGTCGTAGATTTGGCCTTTTCATCTGGCCGGAAAAGGCCATAGCGACGTATTACGACACAGATCTGATCGGTCTGTGTCGTAATGAAATTTTTCGACCAGATTCTGGCGGTGGTGGTTGGAATCTGACGCTACAGGTGGTGGGGGTATTTTTGTCATTTTAT